CAGCCAAGAAAGAACACTGGTGCGTAAGTTGACTAACAGTGCACGTAAGATCCGTAGCGAAGACACTACTGCAGATAAATTGAGGCGAATCAAATACACCCATCTTGAAAATGGTGATCCGGAGCGCTTCATTGAGATATATATGAAGCGCAATGACCCGAGACCCATCGCACAAACTGCTGAGAAGAAGTAGCAGTTCCTCAAGATCGCATTTAATGGTGACAAAGCAGCTGAGATTTGGGTGCGAAGATTGGTGAACTCCTGTAAAAAGACATTCAGTACCGCCCAGCCTGCAATGATTTATGTGAGCTAATCGCTAGTTGTCCCTAGATTCAACGACAAAGTGCCTGATCCAATCCAATCATTAGTGATCTACCGGTTCACCTGCTTCCGTGGAGTAAGGTACCTTGGACACACCACCAGGCGCTTGGAAAAGCAAACCAAGAAACAACTACGCAATTCGCTCATCAACCGAAAGGACAGAACTAAGTTGAGTGTGATAACTAATGTCCTGATCAGCAAAAAGCACCATTTTGACAAGCGTAGAGCATTCGAAATTCCATACAAGATGCTATCTCCCTAGAACCATCAACTAGTCGCAAGTTTACTAGCTACCGCTGAAACGGTAGGCATAAGATTGACAAGATCAAGTCGCTGCATCTAAAAGAACCTCGCTCACGCCTTGCAATTTCATTGGTTAACAGCTGCGAAAGGAGATGCAGGTACGGCCCAACAATATCACGTATCTTCTATCATCTGATTGCCCGATGCACACCATGAGAGCCGTTTGATTTTGTCTAATCAATGGTTTGCTTCGGTACTGTCCTACGGACGCTTAACTTATATTTCTGTAACAACGACGCGTCTAGCTTGCATTTTGCTTGAATCTGATGTATTCTGAATGCTTTTTCTTATTACTGGTATGGCCTGATGAGAATGATCGAAAAGCGACCTCTTCGCTATTTGGACTTCTTATCTTAACATGGACGCTATTCGTGAGTTGAAAATGCGTAAGCAGTCCCCAGCGTTTCCTGACTTCAGAAAATATTTGAAGTCTACTGCGAGGATTGCAAAGGCAAAGTCTGAAATTCGGTTTATACGTGATTGTCTGGAGCGCAACCAGTTTCCGAAAACTTATTGGAACTCACTTAGAAGGTCTCACATACGGCGGACGACCAAAGCACATAAACTTCACGCCAGCAATTTGATGGAATCTACTCAATCGCGAATCCCGGAGCTAGAACAGCTAGGTTCTCGTTATCGTTTAGCTGTGGAAAGGCTTGATAATACAAAACGCTAATCATTAGAGCAACACGTTTAAGGAGTTTACGAAAAAGCGAAAGAGAAAAAGTACGCCAACTTTTTTAAGGGTTTGCCAACTGACGCAGCCGGAACAAAAATTTCCGCAGCACCCGAAAAGATACATCCACAACTTGTACAGCGTACAACTTTATCAGCTATAAGTAGAGGCTTTGACATTTGGACCAAAAATTTGCTTTCCACTGCGTGCCAGTGGGCAACTTCATATCGAGACCCAATTCGAACACCTATTGCATCAACTAACTGAACTTGCGCCCATGTCTTCGCAAGCCAGTAATACCTTCAAAACCACATTGGTTCACCTAGCCCAAAATTGCTTAGATTGTGAAGCGAAAGTATCCCACATCTTGTCTAAAAAATATAGACACGTCGTCAAAGAATTGAGAGTGAATCCCGAAATGATAATTTCTAGACCAGACAAAGGTTCTTTTTGGGCACTAATGAATTTGAGTGAATACGTTTCCAAGATCAGAGCACATTTGCACGCGACGTAGTTCAAATGGGTAACTCCGCACAGCATGAGGCCAAGATTGCGAAATAGCTGAAGGAGTTAGGACAGGCGAACCTGATAACCGACTCGACACTTGTTTGGTTAACTCTATTAGGGTCGCACCCTGCTAGACTATACGGACTACCGAAAGTTCACAAGACAAACCTACCTCTACGCCCGATTATTGACATTTTCTCATCCGCCTTCCACTCCGTCGCTAAGGGGCTAATGCAAGTGTTAAAGCCTGTGTGCAGGAAAATTTCGACTCACGCACTAAAAGACTTTGAATTCGTGAAAGACATAGAGAACCTGTACTTTTGTGGCAAACTCATGTTTTCATTCGGTGTTGAATCACTCTTTACCAACGTCCCACTGCTAGAAACCGTCAACTTGCTTTGTGCTTACATTACCACCAAGAATATAGACCTCCGGATATCGCCAAGCACAATAAAGGAACTTATTTTATGAAGCACATTTAACATGCAATTACTATTTCATGGAACCTAGTACAGGCAAATTGACGGCGTGGCAATGGGGTCCCCCCTAGGACCGCTTCTTGCTGATGTTTTCCTGGCGAAGCTTGAACGGGGACGTTTGCGACCGGTTATCTCAACGTCTGATTCGTATCTGCGATATATCGATAAAACTTTATTATTTGTGATTCAAACAGAGACGCTGCTCGTCTCTTAGATTAATTCAACAGCACAAAGCCGGCGTTGCATTTCGCTAGTAAGATGGAAAGCGAGGGAAGACTGGCCTTTTTGGACGTGTTGCTGAATCGACGGAACGACGGCTCTCTGGAGAGAAGCGTTTTCCGGAAGCCAATATGGGCGGGCTAATACACACACTTTTAAGCTTCGTACCTTCGAAACACAAGCGGAACTTAGTGCATTGCTCGCATTACAGTGCCGCCCGAATTTGCATCCCGGAGACGCTGGAGGAAGAGAACGATCGTATCTTCATTATATTGCAAGAGAACGGATACCCCGTCCATTTTATCGAAAAAACATGGCACGATTCGTTTGCGCTCCAAAAGCATCTTGATCGTACCAAAAACGGATGTGTTTCTGTTGGTGCCATTCAAAGGAGATGTTGCCTTGAACTTACTGAAAAGGAGACTCTCGGCCGCGGCGTCCAAAACCTACCCAACCGCCTATCCACATGTACTTACCCAGACCGCTTCCTTTGTTACCTCGCATCTCAAGGACATACTCCCGGTCTTCTCCCAATCATCCGTCTTGAATCAAGTTGCTTGCGCCTGTGTGCAAGATACCTCGGGCATAGAACCAGGCGTCTGTCAAAGCGGGTAGCAGAACACCGCCCAGGCTCATTAAGAAGTGGCATGGGCAGAAACATAAACAGTGCTATCATGGAACATCTGATCCTTAGCGAACGCGATGCGTTTAAAATTTTCTACTCTGTCTCTCCACTCTATCTGGAGGTTCTTAGAAGGCGTCTCTTGTAGAAAGCTGAAGCAGTTTCCATCAGACTGACTTAGTACGAGCTTTGCAAGCAGCGAGCCCTTGTACACCTGTTTCTCCTACCCTGGCCACGCAGCAGCTACTCGGTGTCGGACATTACTTGCTCACTATCAGCTGCCAGGTTTAACTTAGGCGGCGTACAATCGGTTCCGAGGCCTACTTTAAGTGAATCGACCTATGCATCCATCTGACTTACTGACTCATTTCAAACTCTTGGCTTAACTTTCCTCAGCATAGCTGACAGCAGCTTACGGCGTTGTATGTTTTTTCTTATTATTGTAATGGCCTGAGGAGAATAATCGAAAAGATCTCTTCGCTATCTGGACTTCTTAACATGGGCATTATTCATGACCTTAATATTATCTCTTAACTTGAAATATTAAGTCATCTGAAAGCATTCATTAAATGAACGATGATAGTTTACTTTGGATTGAATCTCAGTGAGCTTGGTCACTGGGGATCGTATCTGAAACGGATAGAATTTTGGTATGGCTGGCTAGAAACACGGCACTCAGCAAGTGGTTGTCCACTTGTTTACACTCAACAAGTAGAGGTACCCGGATAGCACTTTAACCCGAGACGTCTGGATATCAGTCGAAGCATTAGCCTCCGAGTCAATAAGTAGCAGGTAACGCTTGTCACAATTTTAGGTCGTCTGATATCGCTAAACATGGGTGCCACGCAACACGGGTATTGCGCACAGCACAACAACCAAAGGCAACCACATTTAATGTATCAATGCGAGCGGTGGCGTATGGGCGGTTCGACTTTGAAATTCGTGTCAAGCTCGCGATGCTAAATATCCGCTCTTCATGTGTACACAAGACACCTTATGGACTTGATCACACGAACGTGCGAGGACCCAGCATGCACTCTCCCAGAATCTGAGAAGCACACAGCTTCAAGGTTAAATACCCGCCGTCTGGACTCGTAATGCGCAAAGCTATAATACCTAACAGTCGTCCATTTCAAACGACTGTCTGGACGCTAGCCGCTCTAACCTCTAATCCAGCCATCTGATTCATGACGCAGCAAATTAAACAAACAGACGCAGTGCGTAGGAATGAGTTACTTATCGATTCTTCGAGGGCTGAAGTCTACGTGGGAAACCTTGTACTGCAAATCACTATTTCTCTCTGGCTCTCAATTCTTATGGTTATTAAGCATAGGGCACAATACGCATGCCAGATGTGTGCTGCAGACCAGCCCTAACATGTTGGAGGTGCAAAAAGAACACAGGTATGCTTGTGTAGCCGTTCATGACTGCAGACTAGAGTTTTTCTGTGTTGCAGATCATTTGTCCCTACCGATTGTTTTATACCACTCACACGTCCCGTGATTCTTTGAGATCGATAAATTCAAATTAGCATTCAGCCGTGATTTGAACTGTAATCAGAGTGTTTTCATACCCACGTCGGCCCGTGCGGTGTTTCGCAAACATACTTCTCGTCCCGTGCGTTGTCTTTTGACTCGCATGGCGCAATCTAAGAAGCTGCTAAGTCGAACCCCTGGGGACACAACACTTATGGTTATTAAGCATAGGGCACAATACGCATGCCAGATGTGTGCTGCAGACCAGCCCTAACATGCGCATCAACGCTGCTAATTTACGGCAGAATTGAGCTACAATCCATTTTAACATATAATCACACGCCGACTGCAGCTTTATTGAAGGAGGTTCGATCAGTGAGTGTCAAAATGGAACGAACCTATTGCATCCGCATAATATATTCGTCGTCGAATAAGGATTGAAGCGCTCCAAGCGACAGCAGCCAGATAAAATATGGAATCCTTCAGAAATGGGCGGCGACTCATTCTGAAAGGTGTACTGGCGATAACCAAGCCGGCAGTCACCGTGCTGACCAAAAGTCCCGAACCTGGAGGCAGCAACAATGCATACATGCCGATAAGCAAAGATAAACATTTTCACAAACTGTATCATTTTTCGGTCGCGACGATATTAGATAACTGGTATATAAAATCACAGAAATCCAAATGTCGGTGGAAAAAGAATGAAAATGTGGACACTTCAGCACCGAGATATAAGGTAGTAGTATATTTAAAGCACAGTGCCAGATATCAATGAACTCCCGCGATTAGCAGATGGGTGGTACTTACCTAACAAAAAACCCAGTCCCAAACCTTCATCCGGAGCGTCCGGATCACCAGTGGTGATGGCCGTGACTGCGCTGAATACATCTGGTGCGCCGTTGCCGAATGCCAGCAAAGTGACACCCTGTAGATATGATAAATATTCCAATATGCCAGCGAAATATTATATTCGGTTAAGGCTCGAGCTGTTGAACCCCATTGTTAGTTTCACAAAATATTCCGTGTCTATTTACAATGCAAAGTTAGCAACAAATTTCACACCTCAAAGTGGCCAATATAAATCCTCAGGTTCCCGATATATATATATATATATATATATATATATATATAGCCATATCTTTTCTCTTCACTGCTTAGGTTAGCTGTGTCACCCCTTACTGCTCTAACCCACGTCAACAGGGGAACGGCAGGACGGGTAGGATCAAGAGATTTTATATCGGAAAATAGCAGTTTTTTATGGCAATCCGTCTAGCAGACGAGCAGAAATCAAAATCAACAAAGGCACTGAAAACACTGGATTTAGCAAGTTAATAATACAGCATTCACATGTAGTCCCAATCAGATGTACTTAACGAGGGGTAATTAATAGTGTCAGTCGCTGGAGAAAACCGTAGTAAAACCCGCAAAAATAACAATTAATACCGGAGAATGAGGCTGTTGAAATGGTACGTAAAAACAAAAGTTAACAGCTGAGCGCAACAAAAGTTAATGCTTTCAATTACTAACTGTCGCACCAAATGCATGTCAATGAAGAGATACCCATACAACATCGCATACACAGTGTTTCATTTGCAAGCAAAGGGCCTGTTAACTCTTTGCATTCTCCAATTCTTGGTAACTTGACTGCCATAATACAAAGTCGACATTATGCTTTTTCAGCCTTAACTGGACAACAGCATAACCCGCAGGAGGCGCAGCGCAGCCGTATCACGGAATTGCTCCACTCTATTTGCTGAGGACACATTCAGCATACGCTTATACAGATCGTATCAATTTGCCCTATAATTTAACTTCTCTTGCACCGAAGTGTTTCCCATGGATCGCCAGTCCAGCAATCCTAGCTGCTTTTATAGCTTTCCTGTTCAAACCCAAATGTAAAAGTTTATCGGCCTTGAGTTACTTAACCACTTCTGAGCTGTCCAATATACTCGGAGTAGACCAAATACGATTTTCGCTAAGCACCTGTGAAATATTTTAATTTGTTAGCGGCCAATCCTTCACATGCACCTATTGTGCATCCAACCTCGGCTTTCGGCGCTTGCTCCCAGAAAGCTGAACAACGTGCGTAACTCAACGTAAGTACTGCGTACGGTTAGCTCTTAAAGATAATTTAACAGGAACAGGAGCTGGTAAAGCGACACTGTTTGAACCATAAGTTTCTTTACAGACACGTCAAGAGCCTTCGTGAAGTGAAGTGCGAAATCCCACCACTCACTAAGTTTGGTGGGCATAAGCAGACACTGTGTGAGGCGGCCAATGCCTTAGAAGTTCGGTACTCACGTACATTCCGAAGAATACAAAACGAGAGCACTATTGCCCCTACTCTTTCATAACCATCAGCTTTAATCAGCGTCACATTCACTGCAGAACTGGTGTTGCAAAAGCTGCTACACCTACGCACACACACCTCTACTGGAGCAAATAACATTCATCCGAAAGCACTGCAGGTAACAGCCATGAACCTGGCCGGACTGCTTGCTGCATTCCAAACGAGAGCATAGTTCCATCAAAGTAAAATGTGTGTATCATCATTCTAATTAATAAGGGAGGAAGTAGAGCTGTTAGCAAATTATCGTCTAATAACGGTTCTCCTTGTGCTCGTCAAAGTCGGGCAAATGCTCACTGCATGCGCACTGCTGGGCTATCTGGAAAGTTCCGGTATCATAAAGTCTTAGTAGCGCGGATTTCGTCCGGATATATGGTTGGTGGCATCCGGCCTCCATAGGACAGCCATAGGATGCCTGCGCCTATGAAGAGACCATGGTTGGTTTGCGCTGCACCATCCATAGCTCCATACACACCCACCCCATACTAGTGGAAGCTCTAAAGCATAAATCTGGGAAGCATGTGGATGAGAGCCACATTTCAGCAATTGCGCCGGCCTACACTCCTTCAATAAGCTGAGCAGAAGCATTCGCTTTGAACTGGGAAACCATACGTACCAGACGTAGACAAAGGCGGTGGTTGGGCCGTAGTCCGCTCCACCCTGAATGGGACGGATCTTTGAGCCTAGCATGGCCATGAGGACCATGCACCCCGTCAGACCCCAGCAACGATTCACAGTCTCCTGGATGCACTGATCGAAGTAGTGGGTAATATACAAGTGGGCACCTAGTCAACATTCGCATCAAGCGCAGCCACACCGGGAATATCAAATAACCGACATAAAATTTGAAGGAAAATAAACACGCAAGATTGGCCCGGAATATGAGTAAAATAACAGCACCAAACAAATAAAATAAAATGGAATATATTCCATCCAAATTAGGAAGGTCTGGTCTAAGTGGAAGTCAGTGTAGCCCAAATGTGCTGAACTAGCGTTGCGCATGCACAGTCAACCTCACCATAAAGCACCGTCAGGACAACCTTTTATTCATGAGTAGTAGTGAGGATTTTAGTATAATTCCGTTAATTCGTCATCTTCATTCCCAATCAGCATGTTTAGGCCAGTCTGGGAATGCACCAGAACTTCTGGGTCTCGTCAGTGGTGCGCCTTCAATGGAACCCTGTCCGATCCCGCCACCATAACTTCGGGATGCCAGCAGCTAGTGTCACTTCACCATGGGTAACAGCCGCGGAACTGCGTGCTTGCCAGTTGAATATGATATGCCCCGGCTCATCTTCCATTGCCGTGCCAGTGTTGGTCAAGTATTGAATCTCTTCAACACGCGAGCATTAAAACATTACGTGAGCGACACAATACACCCGTACTTGCGGAGTCCACGCGACAACCGGAATAAAGCTGTTGGCGACGGAACGGGAACGTATGTCATATACTTGGACTGCTCAACAGCGTTCTACCGCTTAAATCGTTCTATCCTGCTTTGCAAACCTCAGCATTATGCATCCGTTGTATTATATTAAAATGATTAGGTAACTGTCTGTGAACGGTAATTGGAGGTTAGATTCCGAACATTTTTGTCCGACCCAAATCGAGCAGCATGCAGCGTACCTTGGGGTTCGGTAGTTAGGCTTCACCTGTTCTTAATCTTCAGTAACGAGTTAGGGAAATTTATCACGATGGTTTTGCTCTTCGCAGGTGACGCGCAGATTCGGCAGGCGATCAAGGGATTGGAGGACCATAGGATAATCCTGAAATTGGCCGGTGAGGGACGCACTGCCTTTCACTGTGAGCGGTTGCCTTGTTGTTCGCATCCATCACTTGCACGCCTACATTTACAGACTTGGGGTGCACGATATGCAAGCCACCTCCCTGCTAATTGGCCTAGGTGTGCTTGTAGAGGACAAAATCGATTGTTCTAGACGGTTCGAGTCCGCTCCAAAAATTGGTCACCATCATATAGATCTTTTGCGAAGGGTACTCGGTAGTTTGGGCTTTACTACCTTTCCCCTAACATTCAGTGCTTATTTGCGTCTCCATATCTGATGAGCTATCAAATCTTAGCAACCCTGCCGTCACAGCGTTCGAGATGCTGCAACTCTGGGTAACGGAGAGTGTCAGTGGTTTACGCCAACTTGCGTACCAGGAATGTCTGAATAAACTCACAGTGTTCAGCGAAAGTTACCGGCAGTTGCGCAGAGATCTCATCATAGTATAAGAGATACTGAGAGATCCGAGTCACATATTCCGCTACCGTCTGAAACTTAACCAAAACATCAGCCTGTGACGTACTAGCTTGAAATTAAGTCAACAATACGTGTCCGTAAATTGCCGACGAAGTTGCGTCTACCTATGAGTCTGTTAACCCTGGAAAGCCCTTCCAAACTCAATTATCTGTGCTCCCATTAGTCATTTTCTAAATATACTTGGGTAACGCACTCATCGCCCTACACATTTTTATATTAACATAGTCTCTGGAACGTAGTCCGGCTGACTAGTTTCCTCGGAATTATAATCCGCACTGATGCACTTAAATCTGTGCAGCCGAGTGCGCAATCCGAGTGTTCTGTGCGCTCAACGTTAAACAGAATAGCTCAATAATTCGTCCTGTGTGACGCAGTCTTTTCCACAACCCTGCACTTAAAATGCCGTTGCCCTGTTGCTTTACCCATGCGCAGTTGACTTTGTCTGCATGTGTAGTATTCGAATTTGCAATTCCTATCGTTACCAACCTATGGGCCTTCTAAGCAAATGTCAATGTACCTATCATAATCCACTGTTCTATTGTTCTCGTTGGCCCTTCGAAGATTTACCATGCTTGTTCAATTGCAAACAGTACATTTACTGTCGAGCACCAGTGAAACCGTCAACAGGCTTCTAACTTATACTGTTATCCAAATTGCTTGGGGAACGGAGACCTTTAACGGAACCCATTAGTTTACCGGGTGGGTAACCGCAAAATTCTATGTGCCTGTCACCGATGTATTGTTGGCTGGTTTGATGCGCCAAAACATCTCTTTACTTATTAAGCTGAGCTAAGCTACCTCTGGAACTCGGAAATGTCACGGAGTTGCTCACTGAGTTCCAACAAGGAGGCAGATGTTTATGAGGGCAAACCACATGTGTTCACTCTCCGCACTATGCCTTTTCGAAATTGGCTATCGAACTGCAAAGATATCAAGAGAAAACGTTTTCTGTCCCTTCTGCAACTGCGTTACTAGTCATTACTTTCTAACACTCAAGAAAAAGTATCTCTAACGAACAGGACAGATGAGTTCAAAATTATTATTCCTTTCATCCGGTTTATCCCGCTCAGAAACAGTTCAGTTAAGCAACTGTGAGGTGCGCACCAAAGTGCAACGGATGCAGTTGCCACAGCTTGCGTCACAATGATAACCATAATTAAAAATGGTGTAGAAACTGAGGTAACAGGTGAAGAACAGAAAAGTACTTGGGGGTTAGGAAAAAGTGAGTAGATTTAAGCAGGCTGGAATCTCATCGTTCATAAGTAAAAAATCGAATGCGAAAACATGAGCGAATTCGCGACTGCGCCTTGTTAGAGAGGGCTTTCAACAACTTATGCGGCACATCCTGAGGCC